TAAAGCAGGGAAAAAGGGGGATTTTTTTTTCGGGGGTAAGGCCCTTGTTTTTTTGGGGTTTTTTTGAATTGGGAATTGGGCCTCTGGTTAAATGGGGGGGTTGGGCCCTTCTGATTTTTTTGGGGGGTTTGGAGTAAAAAGGGGTTTGGGAAGACGCCCCTTTGGTTGGGGGGGTTTTTCCTTTTTTTGGGTTTTTTCCAAACCCCCACGCCCCCGGCGGCCCCTTGGGTGTTCCCCCCCGTGGGAGGCCCGGACCCCAAAGGGGATAAACCCGGGGGAAATTGGGGCTTTTCCCCCCCAAAAAATTCCCCCCCCCCCCCCCCCCCCGGTGTTTACGATCGGGGTTGGGGTTTCGTCGCTTGGCAACGACGTTGTAAAGCAAGCCGATCGCTTCGTGAGCTCGACAACCGGGTTACCGCTTTTCCCTTTCTTATTGGTTTGCGGTAACCATAATGGTGGTCGAGGAGATGCTGTTTTACGTGGTCGAGGACCCTCACTCCGCGCAAAGGGGATGATCGCACTACGTTGTGTCAAAATGGTCAAGCATCCTCGAGGCAGCTATTCAGTGCGTATAACTTTCCGTGGAAGTAAAAGTTCCGGAAACAAAATTTGTCTTTGAAGTTGTCATCCGTACGCAAGGAAGTAAGCACAAGATGCCGAACACCCCTAGCAGGATGCAGCGCACCCTTCATAAGACTGGCCGAATACCTCACGGCACTTCGCGCTTGGTGATGTGAGAGCCTGGTCCGGCGAGAACCCGGGGTGCTCCGTCCCGGCTTTGTAGAGATGCGAGGTCAATGGTCTAACGACTACGGCATGCACGACCAGGAGTACACTGCCCCCCCCACGGACCCCGATTTTCGATTAGTAGGCCTATGTGTCTTGAATAATGTTTCACGTGTACCCTTGTGCTATGACTAATTTTCCTGAACCTCGTCGGGCGTCTCGCGGTGTCGATCAGCTATCGGTCGTCTTCTTCGTGGCTTCAAGAATAACGGCGGTCATCAACCAACCCACCTCAACAGCGATGGGAAGACCTGTTAGTATCCCGTACCCAAGCTTGCGTTCAGCGATCTCGCCACGGATGTGCATACATGTACATAGTACAATCTCTTTGAAGGATTGACACCACATGCGAAAAGTTGGCGTCAACCTTTCATGTTTATGCAAGAGCGAGGCCACAAACATTTTCGTGTCTCCTTCGAGCCATGGTTCACCTTCCTCGAGGGCTTTCTATTTCAAGGCCAAGAGGAACCTGTGGATACAAACTCGGGCGGGGTTCGGTGCGGGCTGCTTCCCTGCGCTCGTTATCGCCATAAAGCACCTCACCGTGGTTGCGCGAAGTACCCCTTTCGTCCTAGAGACGCTGCAGGTGAAACGGGGGTCGGTGCGCCTTTCGATAGTTTTCGGAAGCTCATGTATGTGGCAAAACCGCAACACCTCGTTGTGTACTGCAGGCCGAACGTTCAACACACCACACCAATTCCCGCCGCCCTCCTCCGTTTTACGCAATAATATCGAGCCTTGTTTGTCGTAACGGTAAAATGTGTACGTTCTTGATCTTGTCCGCTCTGATTTTGACCGGCCACGGTGGTGCGATCCTGTTCGCTTCGGTTACCAGCTTGGGCGGAGCTCCAGGGATGGAAGAGGAATTCAGAAGTCGGTAACTCCCGCATTCCATGGAGTCGCCGTATCTCCGAAGCCACGACGGGCGTAGTTTCAGCCATAGCTTCGGAGGCAGCGTCATCAGCCATGATCGCGAGGATCAAGGTTATGAATCCGAAGAAGGGGAAAGCAAAAACGACGGAACCCGTGCAGGCTGAGGAGCAGGGCGAGATACCGAATGGTAGCCACAGGAGTGGTTGTCTTGGGGACGATCCGATCGAAGTCGTCCCGTTCGTTAAACGAAATTCCGGGTCGCTCGGTGCTGATAGTATCCGCCACCCCCCGCACCATAAGGCAACAAGAGTGATACCGATTAGTGTGCCGGTGACGGCGATTTCCGTAAGTAGCTGCCAGACGAGCAGCCAGTAGCATGACCGACGGACGCAATTAGACTGCCGAGTCTTATAGTCTAGAGACAACATCGAAGAGAAAGGTGAAGGACGATCGATGTACGTTGTGACACTGGGAATCTGGTCGGTAGCCGTAGTGCGCAAGCGGTTGCGACGTCGGGGACGGGGACCCAGTAAGGTGGGAACTTGGGATCGCCAACGAAATATGTTCATTAGCGCTGCCTTTTTCTCCCATTGAGTGAGCTACAGTAGAAGGACCGGGGAACGCCTATCCGTACGAGACACATGATCCCAATATCCAGCGCCGTGTCTTGCGTACCCGGACGTGGACATTTGCTGGCTTCCACGACCCTGGGTGGCTCGCGGTAGTATTATTTGCAAGGTACGGGCCAGACCAGGATGCACGTGGCGCGAAAAAGACAATCCTGATAAGTAAATGGTCTGGGGTTGAATGTATTCTACGGAGTCCAGGGTCTGTTGTATCATCACCTTGATTTGGCTCATGGATGCCGTAAGACTGGTGACTTATAGGACATCGCACCGAACCAACACGAAAGACCTCCTTTTCGTAAAGCCAAACGACAAGCATCTGGCATGGTCTATAGTTCAAGACCCTCCGAGGAGAGAGAAGCGGTGCATTCGTTCCATGGCTTTCCGTGTGCCACGCGGGCACGGCATCACTTCCTCCCACCACTACTGTAACCCTGTCGCGTACTCCCAGGAATCCGTGTCCCCACGAACGGTGAAGCCCAACCACTACTTACGCAGCATGCCTTGATACCTCTTGAAACTGGTGACGTCCCTGTTCGCTTTCGAGCGGCGCTACATATCGTATTCTTGGGAGAGATCATTTGTCCGTGTTCATTTCGACGGGTAAAAGTTTTTTGGGCAAATTCATTTGTCCTGGTCACTTTCGAGTGGCCCTTTTTTTGTCTCGGGCGAGTTCGTCGTTCTTATTCACTGTCGAGGGGTACTATCTTCATCTTGGATGAGTCATTTTGTTCTTTGTTCACTTTCGAGAGGTGCTAATGTTATCTTGAGCGGGTTCATCCGTCCGTGTTCGCTCTCGAGCTGCCGAGTCTTGACCTTGGGCGAGCTCATTCGTCTGGTTCGCTGTACCATCTTGACCTCGAGCGGGTTCGTGCGTCCTCGTTCACTTCCGAGCGGTAGAGTACTCTTGGGATGTTCACTCGTTCTTGTTCGCTTTCGAGCGGAACCTCCTTTGATAATTCGTAGGGCGAGTTCACTCATCCTTCTTTCACTCTTGAGCGGTGCTACTAATACCTTATTAGCAAATTTATTCGGCTTTCGCGCCGCGGCTCTGCGAAGAGAAACACTCTTGCATCCAAGCGACGCTCTGAACACGCGCCCTCACGACAGCGCCTTGGCGTAGAGGGTCTACGTTTTCGTGTGCCGGCTGTGCATACCGAATCCTTTCACTTGTTGTTGTTGTTGTTGTTGTTGTTGTTGTTGTTGTTGTTGTTGTTTTCTTCACATTAAACTCGTGTCAGTTGCTAATCCCAAAATTTAGCAAAGACTCGGCCCGTGGTCACAAAAGTGCTAGAGCCATCTTGTGTGTCCCATCCGCTCGTTCATTCCTTTTGGCAGTATTGCGCCGTTGGGCTGAAGGTTCTTTTTACTGTGGCGCACGAAACCGTTGAGTATCCTAATCTGCCATCGTGCACAGCTCGATCTACAGAGTCTTCAATTTACTCCTTGGTGTCCTGCAATCTCCTCTCTTGCAGCTGCGCAGCGTTAACCCTCCTAGTACTGGAAGCCCAAATGGGGACACTTGGGGGACACAGCACTCAAAGCCAATTTTGCGGCACTGCAGTCGCCTAGGCTCCGCTGTTTGCAACACACGCGAGAACCCTTGATCTATCATGCTTGGCTGAGGTGGTGCGCTTTGTGATATGCTGTGTGAGGCCTCTCCCGGGCCTCTGCCTTGCTGTAACACATCTCCCGACCCGTGTGCCCCCTAGGTCGTAAAACTGTACATCGCCTGGTTCTGGAAAAATTTGCTGACTTGGCTTCAGTATCGCAAGCGTGGTGGGGACATAGGGCAAAGTCACCCGTTGGCTGGCAAGGAGCTCAGATTCTTCGGAGGGACTGTAACCCCTCGACCAATTACTGACAAACAAAAACTTGCGACATTGTTTATTGCGGAGGGACTGAGTACTAGGAGGGTTAAGAATAGAGCCCAGAGCCAACGACGTGTTGCATTTTCCATCAGTTTGATGCCCACATCTTGGGGTGTCTGGGATATATCACTTCACACTCCCCGTGACGGCGACACATGTGAAGGGAAATATGAATCGCATCGTGTGAATGGATTATCATCCTCCAATACAAACGTTTGAAGGGCATGACATACTACTTTGTAGCAACCCCCGTCCTTCACGACACCAATCGGTGCCTCGTGGCCAAAAGGCTCATCGTCAATGCACTCTGGCTGTACTCACACAATTACCGTCGCTCGCAGAATTCGTACTACAGTAGTTCCCGACGGCTTTTATCTCTGACGTGATCCGATTCTAGGCCACATAGACACGACTGCGCTGGCCAACCGGTACGCTTTTCGGGCTGACGAAGGGATCAACCACATTCAACCTGCATGGCTGTTAACAGCCCCCAAGGGATGCGGTGCTTGATCCATCGCAAGACGTGAGTTGCTATCGGTGTTGTTGAACGTTCAGATTTGGGCAGTTCTAGGGACGCAAATATATAGTTATCCCGCAGTGCGCGTGAGCGAGCAATGAAAACGCCTCGCCTGGATCTCCAAACCTTGCTGTACCCTAGAACACAACGTTGAGGGGATACGAACAATCTATGCCATACACGGGCGACCGGCTTCACGAAACAAAATTATCACCAGCAAGCCTCGCGAACGCATTATATCGTTTGCAAGGGAAGGAGCCATCAACTTCCGGCGAAAAAAAGGTACAGAGCGGTTCCCGCATGGTCTGACCTCAACGCCGGGGGGAATGGACCACACGTACCAGGAGCGGGTTCGACGGACAAATCCCGGACACCCTCCCGTTCCTTTCCCCGGAACCTCGAATATATTTTATACGGTCCCCCAGAAGCTCACACCCTCCAGCGGCTCACAATTTACCACGGAGCACCCCCCTAGCTTGCCTATATTTGGGGGCTCCACAAACAGGGCCTACCCGCCTACTGTAGATTGACTGAACGCGTGTGTTCCGGGGTGGAACGGAACGGCAAACCATGGCACACGTCGCGTTTCTCTCCGTCATCGCTTTTTTCTCTTAGTCCTCTTGCCCCCCTTAGAGGCCTTGGTCTTTCTCCTGATTTGACGTTGCCGGCAAAACAAACCATTACACGGAGAGGCATGATTAGTGAAACGTCATGAGCCACGGCGGTTGCGGTGGGTGCACGAGACGACCCCGCCTGAGACTGCCAGTAGGCAGAGAGCGGAGATCGATGGCTTCGTAAAACAAGACAGTAACCGCGGAAACAATCATCCAACAACTATCGTATACGGCCCATATAGCGGGCACAATGAGGGTGACGCATACAACCTCACCGCTCTTGTGTCAGCTTGCAACAAACCTTCGCCGGCTATGCAATCACAATCACAACCACCACCGCAGCCACCACACACTTTCCATTTCGTAAGCCCGCTCTGGTCAGCAAACGTACGGGCAACGGAAACTACCATCACCGCCGAAAATTATTGTCCGTGGGGGTCCCGGTTTAGGGAACCAACCCCAATGTCACGACGAAATCTGGCCGCTATTCAGGGCGGGTCCCTAAACTGCAACACCAATGTAGCAGTTAGCAGTTATACTACCGGGGTTCGACGGTGCCGCGAGATTCTATGGTCGCCAAACAGGGCATGTCGCTAACCCGAGAGACCCCCACTGTATTCGGACGCAACCAATGGCTAAAGTGGAGCCTGGGGGGATATGTGTTTGGCCAGTGACCCCGTCTGGCCGGTTAGGATGTGACATATCCACCCTAAAAGTTCTCTCGCGCGTAGTACCTCGCGATGAGATGCTGCGTCGTCAACGGACAGAATGCTGTACCCCGCCGTGATCTGCGCTCGATCGCACGATGGCACGTGGGACAAAGCCACAGCTGCTGCCCAGAGGCGGTACTACTTTCTAGACCCATCAAAACTGCGGACAAAGAGAGCGCCGAGCTCGTCACGAAAATGTCGCCACCACCGCAACGACCTCCTCGAGCCCACGACAAGCACCACAAGCATCACCGCTCATGCAAGAGAACGAGAGAGCCAACCAGGTATGCGGTCGAAACAGCGGGGCCACATCGATCCGAACAAAAGCAGACAAAAAAATACAACCCCATATCTTAGAGCGTGGAACAAACGATGAGTCTCTCCATCACGTTCTGAAAATTTCACATTGTGTGCAGAGCGGGCGCAACAGGGAAAAAGCACACCTCGAAAGAGTAGCCTGCAAGTGACTATGGTAACATTTTTCTCAAGAGCAGAAACGACAGCATAAAACAAACAAACAAAAAAAACGAGAAAAATCCCGAAATCGACCAGCGACCACGACGTTACCACCCAAAACGCAATTTCAAGAAGCTCGCGTGTACCTGGATTTCGACGCCGGCTCGACGTAGCTCTCGAGCTTGGGCGGGACGTACGGCTCCGCAGCCTGTTGGGCCTTTTTCATCCTCTCCAGCATCCGTGCCTGCATGACAGGGTTAGCCTCGAAGATGGCCTGTAACCGACTGGCGTCCTCCGGCTGTCGTGTCGCGATAAGTGGCAAGTGGCAAGTGGCAAGTGACATGAAGAATCATGATCGGTATGGGAGCAGGGGGGGGGGGGTGAGGAACGGTAGGAGAAGACGACAGAGAAAATAACAAAGACAAGCGACTTCGTGAATCGTGCTCAAGACGATCACTTCGTTCAGGACAAAGAAGTACTCCTATTCACACTAAACGGTGTATGAGCGGACTCGTCTCCATTCGTCTGCTCGCTCGCCAACCCCCCGCAGCGAGCGAAACACAAAACAGGGAGAGAGAGAGCCGACGAGGAGTTGGCCAGGAAGAAAAACTCCTAAAACCGCCAATCTGTACAAACTCGCCAACCACCTTCCAGTGTACAATTGGTAACCAACAGCCCATCTTTCGGTACCACAAAATCGGCGAAACAAAAGCTGGGCTTGCTTCCGCTTCTCCCGAAAAAACAACTGTCGCCGCTATGCTAACTTGCAGCAACCACGAATACCGCCACTGGACCTTCGATGCAGATGGAGCACCACCCCTACTGCTACCGGTCTAGATGCGAAAAAAGACGGTCTAGATGCGGAAAAACCGTACCGAGTAGCCCAGCAGCGAGTCCACGAACAGCACCGGCTCGAAGTCCCTCAGGTCGTACAGCGACTCCCCGACGCCGATGAGCTTGACGGGTACCCCCAGGTCGCTGACGATGCTAACCACGAATCCCCCTCGGGCGGTTCCATCCAGTTTGGTCACCACCAAAGCCGAGATTCCCACCTGGACGGGCGAAGGGGGGAAAGAAAGACGCAGCGAGGTGCTGTTGTGGTCAAGTAGAGGACAAGCGGGAAATTGGCAATAGGCTACACCACCTCGATGGGCGAAGGGGGCGAAGAAAGACGCAGTGCGGTGCCGTTGTGGTCAAGTCGGGGACAAGGGGGGACACGGCAGCGGGCTACATCGCCGAATCAACCAACGGGTGCAGTAGTATAAGTTCGGCGGAGCCCCCTTAGGTTCGTGGTTGTTCGTCACCGGGCTGGGGGATGAGTGTGGTACAGCGGTAGGAAGGCGAAATATTCACAGGATTTGAGGCCTGATCAACACCAGCTTAAGCATGGAATACCGATCGGCCGCAGCAGCATACACGCGCCAATTGTTGGGAACGCCCTGGTGGTAATCGGGAAAAAAAAAAATCGTTGTACTGCTGCAGTGCGTTTAGCCCAGGCTTCGTTGGTGCAAGCGCGAACCGTGTCATGAGAAAAACATTGTTGATCGTTCCAAGCGTTGTATTCTTATGATTTTATGTACCTTTCCTCGTGCAATCTTTGCCGCAGTACAACAAAACGAACGCTTCGTACTTTTCTCGAGGCTCACCGCTGCTGTAGTCCTCTCGGTTGGAAATTGTTGACGTTGATGTGGTATTGTCCCGTGATATCAAAACTGGTGGGTTTTGTCCCGTCAAATCAAAACTGGCCGAGGTTGCACTACTGCCGTAGCTCACCTCTTGCTTCCACGTCCTGGCCTGATCCACAGCGTTCCTACCCACGGAGGCGTCTACCACCAGCAGGGTGTCGTGCGGGGCCCTAGAAACGGACACAAACACAATACCAGGTATTTGAATTAAAAAACAACACTAAATCAGCACAGAAAACACTAGGTTTCATGGGAACCGAAAACAACAACAACAACAACAACAACAACAACACAGTAGATATAATGCTTGCGACATCTCACCCCGGGATCCTGTCTGAGAGCGCCTTCTTCATGTCCTTGAGCTCCTCGTTCAAGCTGTAGTTGTTCGACAATCGCCTGTTGCGTACGACACACACGTCACGTGCATCAGCACACGGAAGTAATTAGCAACGACAGGGTATCACGACGGTGTCACGGCTCAAGACGTTCTCGTAGCGGTCGCGCCCTACACGTTGAAATCGCCATGAAGCTTGTACAACGAACGATTGACCGCCTCCTGCAAATATCTTGCAAGTAGGTTGGTTGCTGCTGGTTAGCCCCAACGTTGTATCGCTTCCGTAAAGGATTCAGAAAAAAACGTCAGCGGCAGCAAAAAATTCGACAACTTCGTCTCCCTTGGGAGTTTCACCCCTGTGCGCACCGACAAGCCGAGATGTCTAGCAGAAGATCGACAACCAGCCTTTAGTCGGCATGAGAAAGCGGGTGGAATCGAGCACACGCGGGATGTCATGGCCGCTATCGCCCCATCCCGTGCAATTCTGTTCGGTCCGTTCTTGGGAAACCGTAGATTATGAGGTATGTTCAACCAAAATACTTTTCAGCTCCCCGCTACTGCTACTCTCTCTCTCTCTCTCTCTCTCTCTCTGTCGCACAAGAATCAACCCCTCTCCCTGCTGCTTTCACTTAAGACCATGGCAACCATATCTCCGACACGGTTGTTCTCGCGGGCCGACTTCGCCGCCACCAAACATTTCTCTCAATTTCTGGCGACACGAAGCCGGCAGCAGGGTACCCCAAGTACCCGTGTGTGGTCCAGCCGTCAACAAAAAGCACGCCCTATTCTGATTTCGACCCGTTATTTCGGAAACAAGGACGCCGCGCCTCCGTCCTGCATCACCGTCTCTTCACGGCGAGGAACCCTGGATAGGAGGCAATGCCGGAAGGGCTGTATCAATGGCAGAGCTACTGGGCAATCAAAGGGGGAGGGCGATAAGTTATTGGCGCACGCCTGTGTAAACCAAACAAATCACCCTGTTGTCGCCATTGTTGCGCATCTCGCTTGGTGCTTAGCGGCCGCTCTGCAAGCACCAGAAAGCGTGCCCCGTTTCCTCCACGATACACGATACACAAGAAATAATGAACAGAGGGCACGAAAAAAACATGGAAACAACCAAAACAGCTGCCTGGGCACGGAAAGGTCAGCAGCCGACTCCGAAAAATAATCTACAGACGATGAGGACGTCTTAGCCCTCTGACAACAATGACACAAAAAAAAAAAAAAAACGCTGAAGAAAAAAACACTAGATGCGGGCAGCATGGAGAAGAAAAGCAACGCGTTCGAAACAGAACCTACCCACTGGTGTCGACGATGAGGACGTCGTAGCCCTCGGACACCGCCTTCTCCGCCGCCCTCGCCACCACGGACGGAGGCCGTTCGTCCTTGTCGAGAGGCACCACGATGTCCGCCCCCGACCGCTCTGCCCACTCGTTCAGCTGCTCCACCGCCGCTGCCCTGTTAGTTATAATGTGTTTGCGGTTTGGTAGCCCCGGAAACTCCCGCCAACATAAAAGTTGTTCCACTTCAGTCAAAGTCTAAGATAATTGGTGAAGTAAATCTCCGACTCTCTTGCAAGACTAGTAAGACGCGCCCCGAAGGGTACGCCTCGTCAGCCGAAACCTGGAATCGAGCATACGACAGCCAGAAGAAAAAAAAACACACACACATACACATACAACCGCTCCAGTGCCGCAGCGTTTCTAGACTCGACGCGAGGACAGCCAAAAACAACACAGTACTGCCGCTCCCAGAGTCGCAGCGAGCTTAACCTTCCCCTCTCCCGATCGCACTTGAAGGTGTCCGCGGCCGCGATGAGTACCCTAAGCCTCAATCCTCAACCCTAACCGTAAAACATCACCACCGCTCCAACGCGGGAGTCGTTCTGGTCTCGAGTTTGACTCAGCAACAGCCAAAAAACAAATCAATACCACCACCGCTCCCGGTGCAACGATCATAACCCCAAACCAACACTACCACTTCCGGCGCGGGAGCCTTTCCGGTCTCCATTTGAGTCAACGACAGCCAAAAAACAAAACTATACTACCGCTCCTGGCGTCGCAGCGACCTTAACATTCCCTTCCACTGATCGCACCTGAACGTGTCCGCGGCCGCAAGAAGCACCTTCTGGCCCCCGTCCTCTCGCAGTCGCGAGGCCACCTTGCCCACCGTGGTGGTCTTTCCCATCCCGTTGGCCCCCATGAAGAACAGCACCGACGGGACCCCCAAAGACGGGTCGGCGAAGGTAATGGCCGCAGTGTCGCCTCCGCCCTCGGCGGAAGGCATGGTGCCGCCGTTGAGCACCTGGGTAGCAGCAGCAAGCGACATGAAAAATGTGGCGCGTTCTTCGTGGTTTGTCGCACTTACAATGCCCCCTACAAGGCCGCTGAGTCTGCGCTTAGGCATGGCATGTTGAGACTGCTGTGCAAGACAGTGCTGCTGTGGCTGGACCAAGAAAACTAGTCCAGAATGGCTTCGCATTTTTTCTACATGAGCAGATAAAAGCAGAAAGATGGGTTGGGTACGAACTTTGCAATACCTGCCAGCTATTTTCTCTCGATTCCGCGCGGCGCAATGCATCGGGCGCCTTCAGCGGAAAGTTCGCAGCGTGCAAAAATGACTAAAGCGGTTGGGGACCGAAAAAAAAGTACCAGGGAAAAAATGGAACGTTCTTCTCGCGAAACACACAAAGATAGTTGACGAAACGAACACACAACTTCATCGACGTTAGGCTTGTTGAGGTACTGGTAGAGACGACGGCATCATCACCAGCTCAGAAGCAGCAGCATGAACAACAGCAGGACCAACGCGTGGGAGTATCTATGCATACATGTGCAGCAGCAGACCTGGATCAGGGTTGCCCGTAGCACGGACTTGATGTCATCGGGCTCCAAGCGTCGGTCCTCGGCCTTGGCCGTGTTCCTGAGGTCCTCGATGATCTGGAAAGAGGTCGTAGCTCCTAGATCAGCTTGCAACAACGCCTTCAGAAGAGCACCCAGAGAGAGGAGAGACAGACAGACAGACAGACAGACAGAGGGAGAGGGAGAGCGGGAGAGAGAGAGAGAGAGAGAGAGAGAGAGAGAGAGAGAGAGAGAGAAAGAGAGAGAGAGTGACAGACAGACAGGAAGACAGAGAGAGAGAAAGAAAGAGAGGGAGGGAGGGACAGAGACAGACAGGCAAATACAGAGACAGACAGACAGACAGACAGAGGGTGAGCGCAAGAGCGGGCGATAGGGTTCTTCCGGCGCGGCATCGACCTGTCGATCCATGCACCCACCCATCCCATCCTACACCGGTCCATCAAAACGAAAACTGCGTGTTCCACTTGCGCACCTCCTCCAGCTTTTCGAGGGTCTCCTCCAGCGGGCCTGCCATGCCGAACAGGTTCTCCAGGTCTCCCACAAAGCGAAGCCGGCTCTGCGCGAGGCCGTCCGAAAACTTTGCGTTCCTGGAAGGAAGAGAAGGAAAGAGACACGGGGTACAAAGACAATAACAGACGGGGGGGGGGGAGTGAGATACAGCATCAGGCAAGGAGGGAGGACACGAGGTCGGGAGGGGGGAGGGGGTAAGCACGGCAATGGGGGCGACAGGGTTGGGCCGGTGAACCCGGGTACAACGAAAACACCCAAAAGCCTCCAGTTGACATTTTAGACGTCCAGCCGAAGACAAGGGGAGGGAAACCGGCGAAGCAAGTGCTCTTCGCACGCCGGAGGAGCCGCGAAACCGTCACGGGGAAACCATAATTTACTTATCCAACCGACGTTGGTGGTGACAACATCAGCACGAGGTGGGGTAGCACCGGCTGCTTCGTACCGACTGAATGCACCATCATGCAAGATCAGAGCAGTCAGCGCGCCGCAGCGGCCAAGCGTGCGCGCCTAGGCCGCCGTGCGCGTTGCTGCACGTTGGCGCTGCTGCTGCCCTCAAAACCTTTTACATATGACAACAACGCAATAGAATGACCTAGGCCATGGCCTAGAGGGCGGTACACCCGCTGCCCGCGACCCCTCAGCAGGAGTGCCCCCGATAGGAGAGGGAGTAAATCCGGCACACGCACAGAAGATTGGCACCATCGTTTTGTCCTATTCGGTACAGCGGTTGGCGGCACTGTACGGCAGAGAAATACGGGGGCTCGACGTTAACCCCTTTGGGTCTAGGCTGGACTGTCAGATTTTTTTTTTTGCGCCAACTTGGCGCCAAAAAAAAAAAATGAGAGCGAGAGCGAGCGGGAGAGAGAGAAGTGCAGAGAAAGAGACCAGTGTACTTCTGCACACGCAACAGCTATCTCCACCTGTAGGCCATGAGAGAAGCCGGCGACAGGGTGGTGGCCACAGACAGGGTCGTAGAAGGGTTGGTGGGTGGTCGCGCTGCGGTCAGTAGGGCAGGTTAGCTGTGTAGCCTTTGAAATGATCAGTCGTCTAGCTGCCTCAACTAGTCTATTTTCGGTATATTGTAAATGATCAGTCCAGAGAGGGCAAAATGATCAGTGAAGACCCATAGCTTGTATTTGTACTTCTGTACTTCTCTGTTCTCTGTCCCCCCCCGAAATGTGCCCTGCCAACTCTCTAGAGCTCCTGTGTTTTTCAAACAACAAGCACATCCACCAGCACACACCTGTACCTCGTGGTTTCCTAGGTTCGGGCGAGGGTGGTATGTGTGGCGCTACGAGTGTGGATGTGTTGCTGATATGTTTTACTCGTCTACAGCAGTAGTAGTAGTGTTGTTGTAGCGTTCGTTGTAGCTGTTGACACAATGACTGCTGGATCTTGGGAACGATTTTCAAATTGTTGGGAACCACGATATCCTCGATATCTGGGCTTCGGCAGGGACTGCAATACCCCTCCCTTTTGCTGTCCTCTGCTCTTTGCAGCAGTGGCTTCCTACGTTCGGGCGAGTGTATGTGTGGTGCTTCGAAAGAACACATATATGTATGTATGTATGTACTGTATGCACACACGCGTTCATTGACATGTGCATACGTTGAGAGATTCATGATTTGGCATTGATTGGCCCCATTCCCATTCCCGTGACCTTGATGTTACCCGCTGTCACTGAAGTCTCTTCATTGGTCAGCCGGTTAGCGTGGATGCTAATAATCTAGACACACCTACCCTATGGACTTGCCAATACACGGCGCGAAGGGCTGCAGGGCGGCAACTCCACGACTTGCCACTACACCAGCATTTGCAAATGATCAATCAATGATCAGTGAGAACGCCTGAAGACTCAAAAGGGTTAACGTGGAGATATCAGTTCTTGGTTGAACGCCCCACGACGGCAGACACGAAATACTGTAGTCCGCTTTCTTCCTGGTGCGGATTACCCACAATAAAGGTGAGTGTGCGCTCATGTACAGTTAGACCCTGCACACCCTGCTGCTCGCTCTGTTAGTGTGTTACAGTCGTACTGGAAGGTCGGTTGAAACGTTCTTCGTTGACATGCATGCACCTTTATTCCGCGTACTAAATAGCGGTGGTGCTTTGGTATGACTCACAGCTTGAGGTTCGACGTTACTCCCGTCATGGCGAACACCAACGATCTAACGACACGCCAGCACATAACTAAATGGGACAGCAGCAGCTGGTTAGGCCGACACAAGACCCCCCCGTATCAGCAGCGGCTCGCCTGTCCTTGACGTACGCCGAAGTCTCCTTCAGCGCCTCGTCGAGCCGCCCGGTCTGCGCCGCGGTTACCAGGTTCTGCGTCTGCTCCACCCCCTCCTGCGCACGCTTCTTGATGAAATCGAACAGCATCACCATGCCACCACCACTACCGCCGCCGCCGCCGCCGCCTTGCTGCTGCCTTCGTCTCCGCTGGGTGGCAGCAGCAGTACTCCTGGCAGCAGCGTTGCCTGCGGCTGCTGCTGCCTGGGTCAACCGCTTCTCTACAGACTCGGTCGAAGACGACACAAAACCTCGTCTCGAGACGAAGGCGTTCGAGGCTGCCGATGAGAGCATCGCGGACGGAGCGAATGCATGGGCGTGCGGGAAGCTGGCAGCCCCACACAGGGCGGTGCCCAGCGCCAGCATCATCATGAACGGACTGACTGCTGGGGCTGCAAGTGTCAATGCTTACCAGGGAGGGGGCCCGCACAATCGAAGGAGTTCGAAACAATTGTTTTGGGACTGGGATGATGCCCATCAGAGGAAAATTGCGAGCCCGGTCCCACTCGATATCAATCGTATGTATTGTTGCTAACCCTTAACTCCGTGTAGCAGATAGACGGATGGATAAGCAGAGGTAACTGTGCCAGGAATTCAAAGCACCTTTAATTTATAGGCATAGCGGGTGGCCACATCCTGTGCTTACTACTCATTCCGCGGCCGGGTGCCTGTGGGACCAAAAAGATGATAAAAAACGGTTGGATCTTTATGACACATCAATAACCCGACAAATACGTTGTTATTTTAGAGGCAAACACATTGCATACCCGAAACTGCCGTTCTTCCCCTTCCCTCCTCCAAACTACACTACCCTTTCTGGCGAACGAGCTCCATCCAAAAGTATATTCTACAAACTCTCATGTCTTCTTTCAAATGTGCGGCCGTTACACCGTAATTACTCTCGTACTCACGGCTTCTCGCGAAGGCACAAGAGTCGCATCTAAACTACAACAGTACTACTGTACCGAGATGAAGCCAAGGGCACCATAAAAGAACACAGTTCCGGGACATAGAGGAACACCATGGTAATCCTTAGCGTAGATTGCTGTATCTGTGCTACTGCTGTCAAACAACGGATACGCAGCATCACACAGGCCTACGGAGTGATGGGTGACGGGTAGAAAGAAGCACCCCGCCAGCAACATCTAACCCCCGCGGAGCCCCCATGACTTGACCCTTTGACTGCAGGGGCCGCTCAAAGAATATGACGTCTTTATTCTTTGGGGCCGCTTGGCCTCGGCCACTCCCCAGTCCCACACCGTCCGGAACTGCCTGTTGAACAACGGAAACGACAACCAAACCTGGGCGATGGAGCTGGAGCAGGGGGATCAATCGCCCCGTGGTTCCGTGGCTGAAGAAGTTGATGGTCAGGTGAGAGTCTGCGGAGCCGGAGGTGGTTGGACAAGATTTTGGCGAGATCTTGCTGAGCAACGACTGCTGTAGAGAACTGTCCCTGGCCAGCGTCGTGCGTGCGTGCTGCTCAGCCGATGGCACAGGGATATTAACGAGAGCGCCAGGAAATAGGCAGGATGTAGGATGGGAGCAAGGGTCATACAATCTTGCTCCGCTGGTGGCGGTGCTGTTGCAGAGGCTCTATCCCACCCGACGCCCGTACTGCTGTCCGACATGATATAAACAGTAGGTAGCTGGTAAAATGCAGTGTCTGACCGAATGGTCCCGATACATCGGCTAAACAGAAAGGTGGGTTGTTTGTTTTTGCAATAAGACTCAGACATCTCAGATAAATCTGAATTTCCAAAGCTTTACCTTTTCCACCCCCCAACAAAAATGTATGTACTCTGATCGTGGCGCGTGTAGGGCCATAAGATTCTACGGGAGAATGGGCAGGCCTCTTGTAAGGTTTGCCAAGACGCCCGATGTCTTGGGTTATCTCCGTTGTAACTTCAGCATAAAATACCACGGCGATTTCGTGGGGGGTGGAGACCCCTCGTGCCTGATGTTACGTGTCCAAGCTTCTGGCCTGGATTACTAGGGCATTTTGTCTGTCCATCCATAATAATATAGAAACGAAGCTTTGCAACCAATTTACAGTGTGTGAACAGTACAGTCTCCTTTACAGCAGCCAGAAACCGGCTTGTTTGGAAGCTGCCTCTGCTCACCGGCGGACACCTAGCGGTGTACACCAAACTCAACCCAAGACCTGTAAATCGACCATGGCCACCGGCGTGATGAGTAACGGTGTTGTAGAGCTCGCCAAGTTTTTGGTGGCGGAGGAAGACAGAAGGGTTTTATCGCGGTTGCGACGTGGTTGAGGCTGGGAGAAAGTCTTTCCGCAGAGCAGCACCACTCAGATCGGCCTTTTTTTTACTCATCGCGCTTGGGTTGCGAATCCTCGTTTCAAAAGGCTGACGGCCCAAAGTGCCTCGATCCAAGCGGTATTGATCCTAGACACTAACATCAGGCACGAGGGGTCTGCGCCTCCCACCAAATCACCATCACTTTTTGGTGCTCAAGTTGCGGTAGAATGGTGGAGACCCAACAATTCAGGTGTTTCGGGGAAATTCTCACAAAGCCATCTCCCCAGTCCCGCAGAGGGGAGACCCTTAGGGTAGCATTGGAGTTGGCAGATCTCCTCTTGAGAAAAAAAATCAAGAAATGCCAGCATATCTTGGTTTCCATAGTCTAAATCCAGTACGCATCCACCATCGCGCAGCACCCGTCCGCGGATGTCACTCGTGTACAATGCTAACTAAGTTTGTGAGCCCTTCGTTGTCGTAAATGACAGACTTGCGGTCCGCGATTTTCGATAGGACTCTTTTTTTCGTCGAGTTCGGCGAGCGACAAGCAGGATTTTTCAAGCTGCTAATCGGTCTGATTTTCGAACGCATCAAGCACCTTTATGTATGGTTGGCATACTGTACTTAAGGCTGACGCCAGTCATTCAATTAGACTGTGGCGACGAGTAGGATATGTGAGTGAAGAGCTGCGCCGAAGTTTACGGCCCCACACGCTCTCATAGGCGCTGACCCGCGCTCATTCTGTGCTTGAAGCGTTTGAAAATCGGACCGCACAGCAGCTTCAATAACCCTGCTTGTAGCTCACCGAGCTCGACGAAAAGAGGTTCGTACGGAAATCGCAGACCACAATCTATGTTGTAGTATCACAAGGGCTACAACCTGACCATATAACTTTTTACAACAGCGGCGTCAGAGAACGGTTGCTGCGCGATGGTAGATTGGACTTTTGGAAAACGAATGACATCTTCTGGTTTCCAAGAGAAGATCTGCGTGCTCCACCTAGTCCTAAACAGTCGACCACACGGGGAGGCGCCCAGGATATGGTCGTTTAGACTAGACTACGTAATACTAGACAAGAATATTGCAAAGAGCTGTGTTGGTCCGTTCACATCGATCCGCCAGGATGCAGACGCCATGAACGGACGCATTTTCGAAGTTTGGACGACAAATGTTTCGCCAGCGGTGGATCGTCGCAGGGAATCGTTGTCATCGAACAAACCCGTCGCCATTCAATCATGGCGTCTCCGTAAACCTGCAAATGTGAAACAGGAGAGGGTGATCTCGGGCGTGCGGCGAATGGAGGAGGAAGGACAGGGTCATACAGACAAAACGCCAGCAGCGGTTGAGGGGCCAGAGCAGAGGCGTGGTGAGATGGGAGGATTTGGGGTAGTACAGCTCCGGGGGTGGACATTGGAGCCATGCGAGGGGGATCCATCAGAAAGTCAGGGGAGAAAGAGAAAGAGCGAAGAATCGACTTACGTACGGAAAGGACAGCAGGGTGCATCAAGGCCACGACCAAATTTCGTAAAGGGGCGGCAGAGGAAGAGGGCCGCAAAACGCTGGCAGGAGAAGCATGTAAACCTTATGAAAGTCAAGCGGGCGACGAGAGCAAGGCAGATTGCGTTCGGGGAGGTTGCGGAGATCAAGTCCGGGCTCGGCTACCCGGGGGCTGCTGGCCAGGACTCTTTCGTGAAGCGCGGGGCGCCTCTGTCAGACGATCCAGAGAATCTTCGACGGCACGCCCGGGCTCCGTGCCATGCCGAGGGCACTAGTGCTGGTGTCCCGAGCCATGACGGTCAAGCCCTCATCATGGGATCGGGGGACCATAAGTTAGTGGACAATCTGCTGACCCCCCTAGACAACATCCGAAACATCACCACCGTGAGGACGGCCCTGGCATGCCACGGAGGCGACAGTGTCGTCGAAAAGTCGATACCCCTGCCGAGCGGAGCTTCCGTGGTTGCCAAGACGGCCGCGGAGTGCCTTGTTGCCGTCCAACTCGCCTCTTTTGATAGGGTATCCTCCTGTCGATCTCTTCTGGCGATTTCCTTGCAGGAAGTAGTACAAGGTGGCGAGCTACGACAGGCGCCCCTTCCCGACGAGATCGCGCGTGGTGCAAGCCTGCTCGGAGAACTCAGGCTCATTGTGCCGGGCTGGGCACAGAAAGAACTGAACGAGGAGGACTTGGGCTATCACAGGACTCTCAGCACCACAGATCGCCACGAACTGGAAAGAGATGGGAGCGCGGACGGGGTGACGGGCCAGGCAGTTGACCGTCGGAACTCTGCCGTTACAGTCACCGCATCATCAGCAGCATCAGCACTCCGTCCGCTGTTCGCAGCACTGTCGCGTGGTGGTAGATCAACAAGCGTCATCGACACGCTCCTCGGCCAACGGCGGCGGGAGGCGACTCCTCAAAGGACGGGCTACGAAGCGTGCGTGGCGGCGCTGTGTAATGCTGTGCTTTCCGATGGCGATCCGGCCGTAACTGCATCTCGTGTGGGGTGGTTTGCAAGCTCCGGAGCGCGGAATCGAGAACTGCTGTGTGCAGCCTTCTGGGCGGGATGTTCTGGCGCACCAGGAGAGCGTGTCGGCTGCAGCATTGCACGAGACGACGGTGGTCTCACGGGCCTTCAGATAGCCGGTTATTTCGGGTGTAGCGGAATGGTTCTCAGGCAGATCTTGAGCGCTGGCACAGCGGTTTTCGAAGAGTTCAAAGCCGACCGTGGAACTCTGGCTTGGTATCACGAGGACAGATTCGCAGCACAGAGAATTGCCACTGCTACCGAATACCCTGAGGTCGTGCGGAGGCTGTTCGCGTGCGTGAACCGCGCCACCCGAGCACTCTGTGACGCTGTTCATGGCGACGACGCCGTTGCCATTCGCAGCCTGGTGGAGGGCGGAGCACCGGGGTGGGTTCCGGTAAGAAACGATCGCTCTCTGTTGAACGTAGCGGCGAACGTGAGCGCCGGATTTGAAGCCATGTTAGCTCTCCTCGACCTAGGGTGCGATCCCAACGTCCCAGACATCCATGGGAATAGGCCGCTGCACCACGTCGCCACACGGGGGCACGCGGATGGGGTGGCGTTGTTGATTATTTTCAAGGCAGATGTCGAAGCAGTCAACCATTGGTGCGAAAGTGCACTGATGTGTGCCGCTCGGCAGGGACATGAAAGCGTAACGCGGGTCCTGCTTGGCGCGGGGGCAGACGCAGAAGCGTCCGACATGGCGGGCAATACTGCACTAATATTCGCAGCAAGGGAGAGGCATGAGAGGGTGACCCAGATCCTCTTAGAAGCTGGAGCTAGGTGGGACGTCCGAAACCAGACAGGCGACACTGCGGTTTTGGCAGCGGCGAAAGCCGGAGGCTGTAGTGGTACGCTAAGCGTTCTGAGTCGTGTCGGCGGAGCCGATGTGAATGCCGTCAACAACCACCGTATGTCCGCCTTGTGCATGGCCATCTTCAACCGCGATGTTGATTCCATCCGCTGCCTGCTGGTTGCGGGAGCGTCCGTAACTGCTGGCTTCGGTACCTTCGAATCGGCGATATATTTCGCGGCGTGGTGTGCAGATCCAGTCACCAGAACAAGCTCGGACCCTTGCCTCCGAGCGATCTTAGATTCCGGGGTATCTGTGGATCTAGAAGGGGGCGCGAGCGCGGACAGCCCCCTTCTTCAAGCGGTTCAGAACCAGCAGTATCACCCATGCAACGTGCTGTTGCATCACGGAGCTTCTGTTTCGCGATTTTACGAGCATGGTGACACCGTTACTCACCACGCGAAAGATGGGTACATGTTGAAGATTTTGATGGCCTTCGGGGCCCCCCTCGTCGCCCGCAACCTACTGGGGTTTACCCCGCTGCACGTGGCCGCCGGTGCCACCGACAAGAAAGACATGCTGAGCGTGTTACTTGAGTGTAGGCTGGTGTGGGAAAATGTGAACGCCAAGACGAACGAGGGGTATACGGCACTCATGCTAGCTGTCCAAGAGTGGAACTATCCGGCGATGATGGCGATGTTCGAATGTGAGTCCACCAGAAACTTCCTCGACATCCGCATTGCTAATCACTGCGGGGCGACGGCGCTTCATTTGGCCGTGGAGCAAGGTTTCATCGATGCCGTGTATCTGCTTGTCGCGAGAGATATCGGTGCCATGCACCTTGAGGATTTCCATGGGCGGACCCCCTTGCACACTGCCCTTGAGCAGGGCTTGCCGTTTACGGTCTGGCACACAAAACTGCTGAGATTTTTGCTGTCAAACTATTTTTCTAGGCATCTAAGGTACGCAGACAGGTCGCTCACGCCCCTTCACATCGCCGCCGCATGCAGAGGGCGTGTCGATGACGTCAAGCTGCACGCCGCATCAGAGTCCGCTGTGTCGAGTCGTACTATGGAAGGCCACACCCCGCTACATCTGGGCGCAGCTTTCGGCGACGCGGAAGTGGTTCGTGTTCTGCTTGCAGCAGGGTCCTCGCCAACTGCGACGGACAACTCGGGCGGAACACCACTGCACATGGCTGCGAAGTTCGGGTGTCACGACACGGTCTTGGCCTTGCTGGAGCATGATGAGAAACTCGTTGGAGCGGTGAACTATCAATGCGAAACGCCTTTGCACATCGCTGTGAGCCTGAAGGAGCATGTCGGAATCGCCACTGTCGAAGTTCTCCTTTCGTTTGGCGCCTCCACGGCTTGCGTAGACTTGAGGGACGAGTCCCCGTTGACCATAGCGGTCCTGCTATCTCGGAAAAGCTACGTGGCCACGCTTGCCGAAGCGCGGTACAACGGGCCAGCTCGGCCAACCGGAACAGTTGGCGAAGAACGTCAAACGCCGCTACTGTGCGCTGTGGACGCGAACGACGCAGCCATGGTGAGAATGTTGCTTGGTCATGGTGCTCCGGTTAGGCCACGGAACCCCCACGAAGTGAACCCGCTGAGGCTCGCCTGTGAAGAAGGACGTGTCGCCGTGGCCCGGGCTCTGCTCCAAGGAGGAGCTTCTCCGGGAACCGGAGGGGAGGAAGGGTTCACCCCGCTCCACGAAGTCAGCTTCCGCGGGTTGACGGACGTGGCTCGGGTGCTTCTAGATGCTGGAGCTATCCCTGGCCACTGCTTGAACGAGGCACGCGAATCTCCCCTCCATGCCGCTGTCACAGGGGGGCACCTGGGAGCTGTGAAGGCCCTCCTCCCCCGCCTGACGAAGAGACAGGTCAACAAGCGCACTCGGGGCGGAAAGACAGCCCTCATGTTAGCGGTGCAAGCTGGAGACAGCAACATGGTTGATCTGGTGAGAAAACCCATCAGATGCGTTGGATACTATGTACGGTAGTGTACGCCCCTCCCACCAAAAGCCCGTTTCGCTGCTCCATTGTGGCGCAATGGTATTACAAAATCAAAGGTTGCCTTCGTTACCAGTCAGCCCGTGCTTTAACTCTTGTATACCGATCGAGTCGCTGAATATGGTGCTAAGCTAGTTGTCATAGAACCACTATTTTCTCGGACAACAAGCACGTCGATTATTCTCCGTCTTGGAATGGATCGACGGCGCGCGCTCAGTCATGGTTGGCACTTAGACTTCCCAACCTCAATGCCACGTCCATCTTGCTTGCCGTTTCCATATCCCTGGTCAATCTACTGCCGGCGACGTATTTTCGGGTAGCTCCTAGAGGCGGGCGGAGACCATACCGAGAGAGATATCCTTGACAGGTCGTGCTTGACGGTTGCGGTGGCCGGAGTAAAGCCGACGCGGCGCTCTGCCAGTGTGGTCCAGGCGCTGCTCAAGTGGGGCGCCGACCCGACGTCGTTCTGTGCCAAAGGTTTCAACCCTCTGCACCATGCCTGCGCCTCGGGCGTGGACCCAGCAGTTGTTCAGGCGCTTTTGGACGGCGGAGCGGCCGTGGACACGCCCTGCCCAGGCTACAGGTTTCTTCTGCCCATCCACATGGCCGTGCACAACGAGCACACGGACGTGGTTCGCGTGCTAACGGAAACCTCGGGAGTGGCTTGCGGCCTGAACCAGAAGGACCCGGTCCGGAGGTGAGCTATGTAACTTGCGCTCGTCTATCGTTCGAAGCGGCGCGGCCGCCATCGGACAATGCACGACCGTGCTTTCCGTAGCTCAGATCAGATTTGATCGTTAGTTTCGTGGTGCGTTCCGTACCGCATAACAACAGCCCAGTCATGCTATCTTCTTTGCGACGCGAGTTGGGCCCGTCCGTCCTCTTGTGCCGTTTCCAACGACGCGCAGAATCTCCCCATTGACGATGGCGATCTCCAACGGCGACGTCAACACCGTACGCGTTCTGCTTGAAGCGGGGGCACTGCTGGAAGAGAACACGCTAGACGTAGACGGCGTCACAAACTTGGGGTCGCACGTTCATGTTGCCCTCGGTAAAGGGCAGGGGGATATTTGCCTGCTGCTGCTTCAAGCGATGGCCTTCAAAGAGCAAGCCGAGAAGAATCAGCCGTGACTCTCACGCAATCTATCGGCTGTTGTTCGGATGAAGGTGATATAGTGTACTTTCCCTGAGCCGAGGAGGAACAAGATCACAACGGGGCCGATACAGGGTTTGGGTCACAAGGTTGCTCTTGATGATGAACCGTGACGCTGGTGACAGTTCAACAGGACCTGGTGCTCCTGCAACGCCAAGAAAGAAACAAGGATGAACAAGACTTGTAGGTGTACCGGGAGAACACGGGAGGCAGGCAAATATCGAGGGAAACAAATCGGCATCACACGAGATGGATTGTGCTTCAAAACTTATTGGCGGCAATGCGACAACGAATAAAGGCGTTAGATATTGATCCGCCCAAATGTTTGAGGGCGCCGCTGGCCTCCCCGAAACGTCCCATGCATGATCCTGTGGAGAGGCGCAAAATGGCACAAACAAAGTTGTTGTCCCTTGATTTATCTTTTATATGTCCATAGACTATTGTTTTTCTGTGAACACCTATCAATACGATGGCAACGGCAACGCACTCCTAGTGCGCCAACTGACGAAGCCCCCTTCGTCGAAGTCGGGACGGCCTGGTGGCCGCTCTGCTTGCCGCTTAAGACGAGCCCACGCGCATCTACGTCCCGATGCTTATGCGACCATGGGTCATGTAAGCCTGCCATGCCGACGCTCTTTGCCATTTCGGGACTTCTCGTACGTCATACTTTAATGGAGCCCCTCGGTGCTCCGCGTGGCGTGCCCATTCTCGCTCTTCTCTGGGCGTGGTTGATAAACGCGGGGTTTCAGACAGTCACATCTCCTCTCTCCTCTATAAGCCTTGTCCGTGTGCTATAACCGTGTCCAAACGACAAGCCGGGCGAACACATACGCTGATCATTGCTTCTCGTTTCCCTCAGGCGTGAAAAGGGTAAAAAGAAACAAAAAAAGATCGTGTTGATGGTTCCGGGCGCGTGACTCGCTCGAGCGTTCGCTTTAGCCACCGCCGGCCTGGGGCGCGGTGGGCCCGGGGAAGGACTTCGACGTTTGTTTTCCCCACACCTCCTCGGCTTCACAGCAGCGCGGTCCCGGTCCAAGGATTGCTCCGCAGCCCGACCCATGCTCTGACGGACCTTACAAAGACGAAAATATGCGGCGAGATCACATCGTCGAGGCCTCGGGATGAGATTTGACATTTTTATCTTTTGGCGAGGTGCCGGAAAGGGTTTGCGACTTATTTACCGCTCCGTGGAGAAATGACTTGCTTGGCGGGCGGCAAGTCGATGAGAGTGTTGTTATACGTCGGTATTGGGTAGGGAGTTACAACTCCGGTCTCTCTTGTCTCTGCCTGTTGAGCTATCTGCTCAATCAAGCCAGTCCCTTGCTGTACAGCTCTAACGAACCAAAGCAAATTTAGGAGCGTTTTTAGGAGCGGTTTCTGGTGGAAACCCGCTAGTATTCGAGCGAGTAACACAGACTGCCCGGCGGGTGATACGTTCGCTGTGTGACAGGCTTGCTTCAGATTGTTCTTCGAAGACCTGTTTTTTCTGATCTTGGGGTATGCATGAGATAGATATACAGGTCGCAGGCTGAGGTATCTTCCTTGAAAACATACATTTTACCCCCCCCCCCCCCTCGGTGTTTGCCATCGGGATCGGGTTTTCGTCCCTTCCCGACCACCTTGTAAAACAAGCCATTTCACTTCGTGAACTCGGCAACCAGGTTACCGTTTTTTTTTTTTACCTCTGTTTTTTTTTGGCGGTAACCATCATGGTGGTCGAGTAGATCATGTTGTGCGGGGGGGAGAAACCTCACTCCGCGCAAGGGGGATGATCGCACCACGTTGTGTTAAAATGGTCAAGCATCCTCGAGGCAGTTACACAGTGCTTATAACTGTCTCTGGAAGTGAACGCACCAATGGTTTAGCTGTCATCCGTACGCAAGGAAGTAAGCACCAAGATGCCGAACACCCTTAGCAGGATGCAGCGCACCCTTCATGCGACTTGCCGAATAATAATACCTCACGGCGCTTCGCGCTTGGTGATGTGAGAGCCTGGTCCGGTGAGAACCCGGCGTGCTCCGTCCCGGCTTTGTAGGGATGCGAGGTCAATGGTCTAACGACTACGGCATGCACGACCATGAGTACACACCCCCCCCCCTCCCCCCCCCTCGTCTCCTTGTCGAAATTGCAGACCTGACCATCGCTCCGACACACTCTCACGGGACAGACGAGGCATCCGACCGCTCTGGTTCCATCCCCGTTTTTCGTATGTATGTCCTCTTACATAGTAACGCCACAGCAGTACACCGACCCACCACTACTGCATGCAAATGCCACGCGTGCGCGGATCATTCACGGATCAACTACAAAAAGGCTCTCTTTGTACGCCAGAGGGTGTGTGTGTCTCCAGCTACAACACTCTGATATGATACAAGATCCACCCAACTGATTGATCCACCAGATCTTAATTTGACTCGAAATATGCCCAGTACCCAGCCGTTTTCCCTCCATTCACTGCAAAGACTCTATCCAACACATCCCGTTCGACTGTGGTTATATCTCGAATGGGTAGTCTTTCTGTGTTTGTATTTATTTTTCCGAAGATCAACCAGATAGGGGGCCACCCACACCTTGCGACGTCAAGGTCGCACACACCCCCACCCCCGAGAGCTCCATCGTGATCTTACTCTCTGCGAGCCCCCCCGACCGGTGTTGACAAGTTGGTGTTGACATCTTTCATTGTGTGTAAGATGCAATAGAGCCTTGCCTTGCCTTTGGCGATACAGTTGACTCGGCGAGGGTCCGACGGACCAGCTCACTCATCGTCTAGACAAATGGCATCGAACACGGAGCAGCAGGTGAGAGCAGCACGTTTCATTAATACTGTAAGCCGCATGGTCGGGTGTTGCTTATATGGTGTCAACGCGCGTGCGTCGGCACTACTAGTGCGCGGCAGACAGACTGACGGCAGATGTTGGATAGGGCGCTTGCTCGGTGTGGGCCTGATCGGTCAGAGGTTATCATGATTGCAATGTTTCAGGGTTTGCTGCAAGCTGCAAGGTGTACGTGGAAACTTGCGACACCCAGTAGTTGTACGTCTCAGCTGGGGGCAACAGAGATGAAGATTCAAGATCCACGGCAATTTTATCATTGCAGGTTGCACTGAAAATGCAAGACAACTGCAGTGATCGCTTCTCCGTGCCGGTCCTCCTTCTCTGTGTTTTGATGTCAAACTTGAACGAATGTGCCAAGCGGCTGACCAATCGGAGGACGTCATTCTCGGCGGGACTGTCAAACAAGAGACATATGGTATATTCCGCGGGGACCCCATACGACTTGAACCTATTGTACTGATCGATGTGTGTCAAACTTTCTCGGCGGAAATCGCACCTGACAGTCATGGCATTGGTTTGGAGAACTCTACTGTGTAGGCTCTACAGCAGTAGTCTACTGTACAACGTTAGGTCATATATTGTAGAGTTCACACTGCACATCTACGTACAACTTCGGCAACGCCCGGGGGGTAGATTTCATGCCGTGGGTAGACCTGGGATTGGTTTAGATCTTGTCGTACGATGTGTGTCTTGTTCAAGCTATTGTCACTACTCGCAATATAGAGGAGCATCCTACTACTATTGTAGGTCATCCCCGCCGCAATCAGCAGACACATGAGAGTACATCGTGATATCAACCGCACAACATGCCACCATGTACCTACTGATGACATCGGATGCTTGCCAATGCTTCACAGCGCAGCCAAGGAGAGCCGTTGGAGGGGGGAGATGGTACAATCGACGACTTGAAACAGGCGCTTGTAGAGAATCTGGAGCATAGGGGCGTACTCGGCAAGCTCAGAGCGAAGGTAGGAGGAGCAAGAGATGAGCTCATCATCATGCAGGCCATGACGACCTTGATATTCTGAAGCATTTTTTTATCCCATCCCTGTGGGGGAAGATTGCTTGCGTGCAAGGGAAGAGTGCCTCATTCCGCCGTTCCATGAAAGTACACGCTAATAGAGCTGTTCACTCTCTTTGTGCAACAGGTTCAACGTTTTCGTATAATGTATGCATAGGTCTCCGCTCCCAACGCAAGTCCTACGTCCAAACAAGAGTAGGGGTTTGTCTCAACCAAAGCACACGAAATACCGGCAGCCGATGTTTCCACACCTACGTGCTCCAGTCATCATTCCCACTGCGGCCGTCCGGAACCACCACGCACACACCTTGTCGTGCATCACAAATCGCGAACAATTTACCAAGCTGATCAGCCGATAGCGCTGCGCTCGCCAGCACCGCGAGGCAAGTTGAGTTAGTAGTGTCCAACGATTTGCCAACGACAACAACGGCAGTGCTGGACCTTATTTTTTTGGTGTCAGCCAATCTTCAAATTACAAAAAAAAAAATGCTCGGTCGCAAAAACACGGTCCTCCCTTGTAGTCAACGGATTTTGAAACTTTGAAAAATTTGGGAGCACAACAGTGACATTGCTGCTGTCCAATAACGCCCCTTCACAACGCGTGGTGATGCAGGTGCGAGCGGAGGTTTTCCACACGCTCGAGGGGCCCCAGGAGAGGGTTCTGCCGACCCCGCTCTCTAACGACAACCTGCTGATCAACGAGCTCGTGCGGGACTACCTGAGCTACAACGGGTACGCGAACGCGCTGGGCGTGTTCATGGCCGAGTCCGGGCAACCGATCGAAAGGTCCTTGGACAGGGGGTTTATCCGAGACGAGGTGTGGGCAATATTCTTAACGGGGCGAGACCGACACTGGTCGCGTGGCGAGGGCTAGCTCGCCCGCTCTTGGCGCTGGTGGTTCGTATCGCTGCGGCCTAACTAAGCGGCACACGGCTGTTGCCGTTTTACTCAGCTTCTGGCCTACTGCAGATGTAGGCAGGGCTTCTTGAACACAAGGTTGATGAATTTTATACGACGACGACCGTTTGTCCTGCTACATGCACGGCTGTCAGTCCGGAAGGCCCTCTACCCCCGATGAACCTCCCTAGACCCACTCTGATTACCGGTTTGTAGCCGCTTGAGCTTGAGCCCACCTCTCGACATTCCGCAAAGAGAATGGCCTGACTAGATAGGCACACTCCAGCGGCTTGCCTTTTTCTTGCCCCTGTCTGTGATACATGGCGCTCTTGCCCCCTCCAGTTGGGACTATCCGAGCGACTAGATAGCATCGACCGCGGAGGAGCTAGGCCTTTGCCTCTGCTCTACGGCATCACGCACGCACTTAAGCGCAGACGAAAAGAGGCATCCGTAAACAACGGGGATTACGCGGAATGCGAAGAGGAGGAAGAGGAGGAGGGCGGCGGTGAGTGGAAAAATACACTTGTACCTGTTCCCGATTTGCGAGGCTGTCCTCGAGGCCTCATTCTCCTACCCGACCGCCTTGCATGAATAGGACGAGGGCATGGTCCATGTTTCGTCTCTTGTCGTGTTTTTTTTTTCCAACACCCCATCGCAGCAACGTTTGTAGGCCGGCGCACGTCACAACTCGTGGCGCTGTAGCATTCTCTAAAGTAAGGTTAGTATTAGGCAAAACCAAGGTATTTTCGTCATACATACTCTGGTATACCTTTGTTCCGGTATATCCTCTGTGTTAATGGGGCCCTTAATCTTCTACGTTCCCTTTGATTCCATCGCCGGCTGGGTAATTCTTACTGCAGGGGGTCACCCGGACGTCGGCGGCAGGAATAACATCGACTGGGCCGATCCCGCACCGGTGTTGTTCACAAAGCACAATGGTAGTACCGGCGGCGGTGGCGGTGGCATTGCGTAACGGGGAAAAAATGTGCAACATTTCCACCATGACCGCTTGTAGTGTGAAGGGCTTATATCCGAGAATTTCATTTGGTGCGGTCGCCTACGAAGTGGAAGCCGTTTGTATCTTTTTCCGCCAGGCGTCCAATACCGTTTTTGCGGCCGGTGGGTGTACCAGTAATGGCAAGGTCGTCACAGTTCTGCGGCATTGCCGTACCTGGTCATAGCGCCGGAATCGAAGCATCGCCTTCTCGAAGGTTCTTCACAAGCCGGGGTGCGGACAACCCGAAGTCTGTCCATCAAGGGTTGCATGGTCATACACTCCCGGTGTCTCGTTCCGCAGAGGCTTCCAGAGACTTTACGGGGAGCAAGGTATCCACGGGCTTTTCCGGAGACTTCTCGGGGCGCAAGACACGACGACATGGCCTTGAGTTCTAGTCAAGCCTACCATCTCGTTGGGTCGATCTCCGTCGTAGAATCGACTCTAGAGTACCCCGTAGCGTACATGCAGCGCCAGTTGAATACTTGGGAATATTCATTCGTGTTTCAACAGGCTGGGGTATTTTTGCGTTGCGCATCTACAGTAACCAGCAGGCAGCTACGGTTCAATCCAAGTTCGCTCGTGAAGGTTTTAGTATTTATTGGACTCGCTCGGTCGCTTTTTAGTGAAGTTTCTGCTTTCCTCAAGTGTCACCTGCTGGCGGTACCCGTAAGTACCTCCAGAATATCTGTCGTTGACTTCTATTGACTTGTGGACCCCTCGGGGCCAGTTTATTTAAGTGTACCTTTTTAGGGTAAGTTAGCCTGTGACCACGGGAATCGACCGCGTCAAGTGTTGGATCAGTACGGACATACGAAGGTACTGGGTAGAGAGAGATCGGAACGGTTTTTAATGTGAAGACAACAACAACAACAACAACAACAACAACAACAACAACAACAACAACAACAACAACAACAACAACCTAGCCGACTCCAAATGTGAGAGACCTTCTTCTGCGCCGGAATGTGTCTGATTCGGCGAAAGGATGAGCTCAAGTTAGATTTTTCCATGTTCCACTCATGCACTGAGACATTGGCATGATGCGAATCACACAAGACACAGACACGGGACATCGTCCCATCAGTATAAGCGTCAGAGTTCTGAACGGGGCCATGTCAAAGGCGACGCTGCACCTAGAGGGAGCCACGAAAATGATTAATACCGAAACATCCAAACGCAGGTCCTGCCGCGCGTGTTCGGTCCCATACAGTATCGGATTGCAGTTATCGAATTCCAGGTGAGATTGTTGTGAACAACCATAATAATTTCATCTCATTTTTACCTTAAGGCTATCTCTGACACGCACATGTTAATTTTCAATATTACCTCATGTAGACAAAACCCTCATATTGCGTGCGCCAAGGTCACCACTTTTTGCGATTATCAGCTCACCATTCGACATTTTTTCTTCAATTTTTGTCACCCACATCGACTCATGCGAACCCCATCATATACTAATGGTTTTGATAAATCTTTCATGTCAACGTTTCTCAAATTTTAACTACAACCGACAGAAGCGAGGACTTCCACACTCGCACATCACGTTCCAACTATGCGACGAACACAAATCGGACAACGCGGAATGCATCGACAAGCACATCAGGGCGACGTGGCCACACCGAGAACAAGAACCGGCACTACAAGACGCCGTCAACAAGATCACGACCCCACAAGAATTGCAACAGCCAACGCCAGCTACGCTACGTGGAGGGAAGGAAACAATGCAAGAAGCGATTCCCCGAAGCCACCTCAACTTACCACCACTTTCGGCGAGAGGGGCTATCCTTTGCACCGTCGATGCGACGAAGACAGCGACATCGTCCCTGACAACGATACATTGGTTTTGCTGATTGACGCTCACATCAACGTCCAAGTTTCGGCAACCGTCAGTTTGCGATTCGGGCCCCGGCGCCCACTGGGGGCGGAGAGGCCCTTCAATCCCCTAGCACCGAATATGCATACCGCGGTTGAGTCCAGCTACTGCCGCTGTCGAAACGAAAAAACCTAACCCTACATACCAAACTCACACAAGATTTCACAGTTCGTGACCGATTGGCTGTTGAGCAGCTGTCTACATGAAACAACAACCCAACCCCGCGAACGCACCCAACCCGCAGCACAAATCAACAATACCTAACCGATTGGCGCCTCTTGCGACCGGAAAAATACGTCTTACGGAGTTGCGATAGGCCCGCATCAACTAAAATGGTGACAAACAGAAGCGCTAAAGATCTACAGGATGAAAACTATGTACAGGATGCGGAGCCGACCGAATTATGTGTGAAAGTGCCAAAATAACTGTTGACTCAGAAGCGAACAATACTGGTACAGTCAAATCAATTCAAGCAATCGACGTTTGCGCTGCTGGTTTTGGCGTGGCCTGCGCGATACAAAACGCAACCTACAGCCACGATAGACGTGTTCTTAACCCTACTAGGACTGGAAGCCCAAATGGGGACACTATGGGGACACAGCACACAAATGCTGATGTACCGCACCGCGGTCGTCACTATGAATGTACGTGGGAAACCTTGGCCTAGCAAATGCTTGGGTAAGGTGCTGCGCTACGTGATATATGATGATGCCTATGCGCCTCTCCTGGGGATCTGACTTGCTGTACACAATCTCCCAAGCCGCGGGTCCCCTTGTTGGTGAAACTGTAAAGAGCCTAGTACTGGAAAAAAATGATGACACTGCTTCAGTAAAGGAAGTGTCCCCCATGCATGTGGGGACACTTTCCATGCTCAAGCCAAGTCAGCCTTCGGCCCTCGGGACTGTACAGCCTCTCCCAATGAGCGAACGCGATGTTTTCTGGAGCAATAACCTGTAATTATCTGTGGGTACTAGAAGGGTCCAACATCAAACATTGCGGCACCACCCGTGCGGTGAGGATAATCAGCCTTGACCCATGATAAAATGTGAGCCGTCGATTTTCCGTGGCAATGCCCCCTGCCTTTCCGTCGCTGTCCCTGTCCCCTGCTCTGTCTCTTGTGTCAATCTCTGTGCCCCCCCCCCCCCCCCCTCT